TATACAAACACCATCTCGCACTAATCTCTAATGATTTTTTTAGAATCCTAAATGTGAAATTATCTGTTCTCACTAACATAAACGTATCTTTATCATGAGTTGACAAAACATGGGCATCATACTTACATATTGTGGATCTCCAACATATAATATATGCAAAATGATCCTTACATCAGTTAATTATTTTATGGTTTACAGGGTTTTATCCACCTGCTTCATTCGTCACAATATTTTAAGTCAATTATCTTTATTAAAAATATTTTGCTTCCCTAGGAACTACTATCCTACGGTACTCAGTGGATTTTTCTTCAAGCCTTTCTTCAGATTCAAAACATATCTTTCAAACAGGTACACAAAGTAGTGTATCTGTACAATGGAACACTGCTCAGCAAAATCAATGAGTCTTAAAAGCATGAAAGAATCCATATCCAAAGGATTACATGCTGTGTAGTTCCACTCATGAAACATCCGAGAAAGGTAATACTATACGGACAGAAAAACAGATCAATGGTTGTCAGGAGGTAGAGCTGAGGATTAAAGGACTGAATGTAAAAAACAGTGAAGGAACTTTCTGGGATGACAGAAATGTTCTATATCTTGGTTATTATTGTGGTTATGCAACTATACTTACTTATCAAAACTCACTAAACTACAAACTTTTCAAAATTACGTAATGCAATAAGTATGACCAAAAAAAAAAAAAAATCACCCTTCCAAACCATTATCCACTGTCAGGTTCACAACTGGACTGTAAAAATAAACATAGTTCACCAAAAATTTTTTAATAAAATATTCGAATGATAAAGGGCATCATATTATGAAGTTGGTGTAATTAATTTTCTCAAATTCCACTCAGAACACTTAAAAAGTACTTTGAGGATCATGTATCTATTATAACATCTCCATATAAAATTTAATTCTGTATGACTAGAAGTATGAAAAATCTGTAATGTATTTTGGGATATCATGTAATCTTCCTGATATTCTAGCAAACATTTCCTGATACTCTTTTCAACAGGAAATTATAAGGACATAAAACATGATGTTTGAGAATGTATTCTTAAGTAAAGAAAAGGATCAAAGGTTAAAGCTATCTGAGAAGCTACTGATTCTCCCTACTTCTTCTACCCCATGCGAAAGCAAAACAAAAACACAAACACCTTTTCTGGAAAATGACACATCATGTCATGTTGTTTACACTGCTAATTCCTAACGATTAGTTTATACTACTAATTGCTAATGATATGTGTTGTGTCGTAAATTCCTATCTAAAAAACAGAAAAAGATAAAGAACATATGACTATGTTGTTCTGAGTAATAAAAGGCAATTTAAAATCAAACTCACATGATTCCAGTTTTCTTACCTGTTCACTAATAACTTGGAATTCTCTCATTTCATCCTCAGTTAAGGGAGCACATGTTTCATCATTTTCACTGTCTTCTTGCCAGCCCATCTCCTTTAACAACCTAAAAAAGAAAGGAGGAAACTACTGTTTAATTTAGAGCTGCAAATAAGTAGGACAACTCCATTTATTATTATGTACAGAAATAAGAACCATTACACAAAGTGCCCAAGATAAATAAACAAGAATTTCTGACTGCATGGTTTGAGTATCTTTCTTCAAATGAATAGCAAAAAACTGTCTCTGAACATAAGAATAAATGATTTAATTGCTTTATCTTTTTATTGAAGACAACATGCAACAGGGAACACCCGAAGAAAATCTGCTCAATTCTTCTATTAAATAGCAATACCCCAACGCACACACCTTTTCTTAATACCACCACAATCTATGATATTACTGACTACTCATTAGACTTTCTACTTTGAAAAGGTTGGAAAATCTTATCTTACCTTTATTTTATTATACTCCATTAAAAACATTTCTTAGTCACATCCCAACCATAAGCTCAATACATTAATTCAATTTACAAGAGGCATCATGTCGTATAGTTAAAAAAAAAAAGGAACTTTTTTAAAGCTCTCAAATATGGTATGGTCTGGGAACTCTGGTGGTGTAGTGCCTAAGGCAACTGACTGCTAAACAGAAGGTTGACAGTTCAAACCCACCAGCCCCTCCTTGGAAAGAAGGTTGGGCAATCTACTTCTCTAGTGATACCGCCTAGGAAATCCAAGGAGGAGTCCCTATGAGTCGGATCTGACTGCACAGCAATGGGTTTGATTTTTGTTTGCAAATATGGTCTAAATATGTAAAATGACAAATACAGTTCTATTATTTTCCTACAATTTTATAAAAAGATTACTTTTAAATTATGCAAATAGAGCTATAGGAGATTAAAAGGGAACCACACACTTTTCCCTAGTTGAGCACACATGAACACTGAAGCCAACAACGACTATATGTGACTCAGTGACTTCAAAGTTCCTGCTTCTTATATAGCCATATAGTTCATGGGGTCACCCTGAATCAGGGCCAAACTCGACAGCACCTAGTAGTAACAATTAAATCTGAAATCTTGAATACATATTGTATTCTATTTCAGGATAGTAATCAAATGTTGTTATTCTCTTCTCCTTCACTTTCATAGGAGCTCTGGTGGCACAGTGCCTAAGGCATTTGACTGTTAACCACAAGGCTGGCAGTTCAAACCAACCAGCCACTCCTCAGAAGGAAAACTGGGCAATCTACTTCCATGGAGATACCGCCTCGGAAACCCAAAAAGGGGTCACTATGAGCAAGAATCAACTCAGTGGTGGTGAGTTTGTGTTTTTTCTTGGCTTTTTACTTTCACGTTCACACTATATAACGTCATTCTTATGTAAAATTCAGTAAACAACTTTAAAAAAGAGGTTCTAGTCTAAAACTTTTAAAAAAATGCTTTGTTGTTAAAAGTTTAAAATAAACTTAATTAGAAAAGAAGTATATTGACTGTTTTTAATAGACAAAATAACCTACAAAATCGTCAAAAAAGAAAACAATTAAGATGGGTGTAAAATGAAGCATTCTTTCAAATTATCCTATCTTTATGCCAGCATAGATTTTCATCCAGCAGCATGCTTAGTTCGTAAATCCCATTTTCCTCTTTTTCTCCTAGTCACCTGAAGATTAAACTCTGTGAAAGTAGAGAACTAGTGTCTCCTCCCTATGTCTTCACGAATGAAATAACCAATCAAAATGCTCCTACACTAAACACCTGCTCTACAGGTTAAAATAAAAGTTAAAATATTCAGTACTGGTGTAACAGGTTACAGAAATACTTTTTAATTGGCATGGCACAGCTTTCTCTTGGTACAGAATTATAAAAACAAAGATATTTAAGTGTCAGTAATAATGAATAAATCTGACAAGTAAAATACTAATTTCATTATACAATAATGCCTATGCTATTATTTCCATTAAAGAGATCTCTTCTTTTATTGTTATCAGAACACTTGGTCTATTTATACATTTTTCTATACAAGGGGCTCTTCGTTCCTATCAATTGCCTCACTAAAAATATTTAAACTGCTACTGATGACAGTACAAATTAGAAGGACATTTCTGGGTTAACAATGCAGTAGTACCTTATGATTTTAAATATGTATGCCATCTGATCAAGCAATCCACTTCTAATGATCTATAACACATACATTTATGTTGTTGTTGTTAGGTGGTGTCAAGCCATCTCCGATTCATAGAGATCCTATACACAACAGAAAGAAACACAGCCCGGTCCTGTGCCAGCCTCACGATCCTTGCTATACTTGAGCACATAGCTGCAGACACTGTGTCAATCCATCTTGTTAAGGGCCTTCCCCCCTTCTTTTGCTGACCCTCCACTTTACCAAGCATGATATCCTTTCTCCAGGGAATGGTTCCTTCTGACAACATGACCGAAGTAGGTGAGATGAAATCTGGCCATTCTCACTTCCAATGAGCATTCGGCTACACCTCTTCCAGGAAAGATTCGTTAGGTCTTTGAGCAGTCCATGGTACTCTTAGCATTCCTCACCAACACTACAACTCAAAAGCATCAACTCTTCTTCAGTCTTCCTTATTCATTGTCCAGCTTTCACATGCATAAGAGGCGACTAAAAATACCACAGCTTAGGTTAGGCACACCTCAGTCTTCAAGGAGACATCTGTGCTCTTAATCACTCAAAAGAGGTCTTTTGCAGCAGATTTGCCCAATGTGATACATTGTCTGATGTCTTGACTGCTGCTTCAATTGGTGATGATTATAGAACCAAGTAATATGAACTCCTTAACAACTTCAATCTTTTTTCTATTGTGAAGCCATTTATTGGACCAGTTGTGAGGATTTTTGTTTTCTTAATAATGAGGTGTAATCCATACTGCATACTTAGTCTTTAATCTTCACCAGTAAATGCTTCAAGTCATCCTCACTTTCAGCAAGCAAAGTCATGTCATGTGCATATTGCAGGTTGTTAATGAGTCTTCCTACAATCCTGATGTCAAGTTCCTCTTCATATAATCCAGCATCTCGGATCATTTGCTTAGCATACAAATTGAGTAAGTATGGTGGAAGGATACAACCCTGACACACTCCCTTCTTGATTTTAAACTATGTAATATCTATACCCTTGTTGTGTTCAAATGACAGCCTCTTGATCTACAAACAGGTTCCTCATGAGTACAGTTAAGAGTTATGGAATTCCCATTCTTCTCAACGTTATCCATAATTTATTATAATCCACACAACTCAACAAAACATAAGTAAACATCTTTCTAGTACTCTTTGCTGCTAGTCAAGATCCATCTGACACCAGCAATGATATCCCTCATTCCACATCCTCTTCTGAATCCATCTTGCATTTCTGGGAGTTCTGTCAATACAGTACTGCAACCGGTTTCTGAATTATCTTCAGTAAGATTTTTCTTGCATGTGATATTAAAATATTGTTCGGTAATTTTCACATTCTGTTGGATCACCTTTCTTTGGAATGGATACAAATATGGATCTCTTCCAGGGAGCTGGCCAGGTAGCTGTCTTCCAAATCTCTTAGCATAGCCAAGTGAGTGCCTCCAGCATGGCATCAGTTTGTTCAAACGTCTCAACGGGTGTTCCATCAATGCCTAGAGCCTTACTTTTCATCAATTCCTTCAGCACAACTTTGACTTCTTCCTTCAGTGCCACTGGTTCTTGATCATATACCAACTTCTGAAATGGATGAACAGTGTGACCAATTCTTTTTGGTACAGTGATTCTGTGTATTCCTTCCATCTTCTTTTGATGCTTCCTACATCATTCAATATATTGCCCACAGAATCATTCAATATTGTAACTCAAGCCTTAAATTTTTCCTTCATTTCCTTCAGCTTGAAAAATGCCGTGTGTTCTTCCCTTTTGACTTTCCAACTTCACATCATTGCACAGTTTATTATAATGATAGCCTTTGTCTTCTCAAGCTTCTCTTTGAAATCTTCGTTCAGCTCTTTTGTCATTGCTTCCATTTGCTTTAGCTACTCTCTCTTCAAGGTCAAGTTTGAGAGTCTCTTCTGACATCCATTTTGGTCTTTTCTTCCTTTCCTGCCTTTACAATGACCTGCTTTCTTCGTGGATGATGCACTTGATGTCATCCCACAAATCTGGTTTTTCAGTCATTGGTGTTCAATGAATCAAATCTATTCTTCAAATGGTCTCTAAATGCAGGAGGAATATTATCAAGGTCATATTTTCACTCTCATGGACTTGTTTTAAATGTCTTCAACTTGAACTTGAACTTGCCTATGAGCAGTTGATGGTCTGTTCCACAATCAGCTCCTGACCTGGTTTTGGCTGAGAGCTTTTCCATCGCCTCTTGCCACAGATATAGTCAATCTGATTTCTGTGTACTCCACATGTACAGCTACCATTTGTGTTGTTGAAAATAGGTATTTGCAATGAGTAAGTCAATGATCTTACAAAATTTATCATGTGATCTCCAGCATTATTTGTATCAAAAATGCCGTATTTTGCGACTTCCGGTAAAACTCTTGTTTCCAACTCCCACATTCCAGTCAACAGTGATAATCAATACATCTTGATTGCATGTCCAGTCAATTCCAGACTGCAGAGCTGCTAGAAATATTCAATTCCCTCATCTTTGGCTTTGGTGGTTGGTGCACAGATTTCAATAGTAGTAGTATTAACTGGTCTTCCTTGGAGGCATATAGGTATTATCCTATCACTGACAGCATTGTACTCAAGGACAGAACTTGAAACAGTCTTTGTCATGATGAATGCTACACCATTTCTCTCCAATCTGGCATTCCTGGCATAGTAGAGCATATGGCTGTCTGAAAATGGCCAAAACCTGTCCATTCTAGCTCACTAATGCCTAGGATATCGATCTTTATGCATTCCATTTCATTTTTGACAACTTCCAACTTTCCGAGAGTCAAACTTCACATAATCCATGTTCCGATTATTAATGGATGTTTGCATTTGTTTCTACTCATTCTGAGTTGTGCCACATCAGCCAATGGATGTCCCAAAAGCTTTATTCCATCCATATCATTAAG